TGATTTTTTAGGCAGACCTGTAAAGACACTGTTACAATAATCAAGACGACTTTAGATAAAAGCATGGACAAGTTTTTCCAGGTCCTGCTGGGACATAAGTCCTCTGATTCTAGATATGTTCTTCAGGTGATAGTAGGCTAATTTTGTAATTGTCTTAATGTGGCTTTTAAAATTGAGGTCTGAGTCCATCACTACGTCCAGATTTCTTGCCTGGTCTGTGGCTTTCAGTCTTCCAAAAACAACAACCTCAGTTTTGTCTTTGTTTAGCTGGAGAAACATTTTGCACATCCACTCATTGATTTGTTCTATGCACTTACCCAGTGCTTTTGTGGGACCATGGTTGCCTGGCGACATTGTAATATATATTTGTGTGTCGTCTGCATAATGATAACTTATTTTAGTAAGGGTCGTATTTCCTGCACAGATTTCCCCCATGGGTTTCGATAAATGTGTCTATGAGAGACAGATTTCCATATGAGAGAACAAATCTCTCCCTGCTGTCCCTCCAGAAAACTGGAGCAGAATGGAGGTCACATTCAGAAGACCGTACATGATTTTCTCAGTTCATTGCTCCATTGTAAGACACTCATTTTATTCTCAGTCACATGAAAAATGCCAACACAGTCTGAAAAATTGGCTTCACTGTATCACCATCAGACATAAGCTGTGACCCGCTTCTATACTTCAAACTAAATCCCAGCAGGTGTTGAGTTTGTACAGGGAGAGTGATGAAATTAAAGCATAATAAAACAGCGAGTGTGCAGATTCTTCTTAACCTCTGCTTGTAATTGACACTGTTATCCCATGACGTTCTGGATAGAAGAATCGTAAAAAAATATATAGCTTTTAAACAGCTGAAAAATAAAAAAACGAACAATTGATGGTCAACAAAAACTCCAGTAATACTTCAGCGAACAATAAACAATTGAAGCCAGCAGACAGATATGTTGTTATTTAATTTGAAGTTGCTGCAGACCCTGTCACAGTAAAACCGTGATATTGATAGTTTGGTAAACTAACTGCAAATAAAGCTATCATCCTGAGACACTAAAGAAGTTGATCAGGCTTATATCCAAGCAGCAACCTCTGGTGTTAAAAAATGAAGCTGATGAAGCTGTTTGTCAAGAGGCTTAAAAACCCTCCTAAGCTCAGTTCTCAGCCTGTCGTTAAGATGACTTAAAAGTTAGGTTAAGACATTTCCAACATGGTGACTGCCATTGGTTGGACTCCAAAGCCCCCTGCATTAACAGACGCGTGACGTCACTCAGGCTTTGTCCAATAATATTTACTGAATGTATGTTTATCGTAAACAATTCTCAGCCAGGAGTAATATATCAAGCATGACCCAGACTGAAGAAAAGTTACACTCATTGACTTGAAATGTCTTCTCCTCCGGCTGGCTAAAAGATTCCCTCCACTCAAAAATGCTTCTCTTACTTTTTTGTCTCCCTAAATATCTGGCATGAATAAGACTGAGAAGTATCTTTGCTAAGTTTGTAACTAGAGAAGTGTTTTTTCCTTGTTCTGTTCAGGCTGGAGAGGTGTGTGACATTCCCAGTTATCTGAGATTTCAACTGGAGGAAGCTCAATTTGAAAGTATGAAAGATATTGAAATGTCAATCAAAGTGTTAAGTGTAACAACACCAACCACATCTGAAGGTCTAGCCCAGTGCAAACAAGGGTGTTACTGTAAGTCTGCATCAGTGTGATTCCTTTTGATATCAAACTTGAGATAAAGCCTTCTTTATGAGTTCTTTATTACAGTAACACTACTGCTGTAGAAAAAACTCCAGTATGCTAAATATGAGCAGACATTAGGATTTCTTAAAAAGAATGAAACATGTCAACTTTAGTGAAGCTGCAGTTTGGGCAGATACTTGTGAGGAAAGCCACTTTGTTTTCTGCTGCCTTCACTTTTGGTCTATTTGTGTAGACTGCAAAAAGAGTCTTTAATCCAAATCTTCAGCTTACAGTAAAGTCTGTCTAAGAGGAAGTAAAAGTAAATTTACTAACAATCTAATGAGGAAGTTATACGTCTTGGCTCAGATAACTTTCTAAGTCTGGAAGGATACATCGATGGCTCTCTCTCCTTCTGTTACATGTTACATGCCAGCTATTTGTCACCTGCTAAGGGGGATTGCATTCACTGAATTTTCGGTTCCTACACCAAAAAAACTGCACAATATTTAACCTGAATTCAATAAACGTTATTTCAGCTATCATAAGAGTTTTGGATTAGTTGGTCAGGATCTATAAGTTTGCTGCTGGATACTATAGCAAGTCAAAACAAACAACAGGCAGACAGACGTGGGCCAATTCTGTCTTCATGCTCTAGATCACTTTCGTACTTTAAAGTATGAATGATGATATGACAAGGCTATTACCTGACACAGGAAAAGTCAATAACATTCTGATGATAACAAAATGAGGTTGAAGTGAAGGAGAAATTAAACAATGGATACAGTTTTAATTCAATTTTATGCGCTGGGTTGAATCAGGGACAGCTAAATATGTTTGGCAAGCCTGCAGATGCAGACAGCCTCATAAATCAACATTAAAACGTGCCATCTTATTGGCCAGTTGTTCATTTGAGGATTTTTTTCCCAGAGTTTTGATTGATCAGGCTGGTCAGCGTGGTAGAATGACACAGGTGCTGCTGAGGGAAGGTGATTAATGGCCCTTCATCAAAGCAGGTGTGCAGAAAATGCTTGGAAATGGCGAGGGGCTTTGTTGGAATAGTAAATATATACTGAGTGTATTACACCTCCTTATGGTTTGCATAATGTGAATATTAGAGAGAGATTATACCATAAGTGACAATTAATAAATAAATGCCTTAACAAGTTGTGTTTAGTATCTAGATACAGTATAAAAGGCTGCTATTTCTCCACATTTGAATGCAATAAAACACCAAACTTGACAAGTTCTGCTGAAAACCAGTGTTTGCATATATTTCAAGGTCAAAACAAAGCTTTTCTGACAGTTCATGGTAACTCTAAACCTTTCTTTTATTTCTGAATTTTTTTATGCTGTAAAATCAAGATCCAGTATCTACACAGACAAAAATCTGACTGTGAACATGTGTGAGGCAAATTTTCTTCATTACAAACTTTGGCACCAAGAAGCCTGAGGCTCAGAAACAAAGAAGCACTTGTTTCTTTCAATTATAAACCGACCCACTATGGAGGAAAAAATGATGGAAATAGTGTTAAAAAAGGGAGAACCAAGGATAGTACAACAACCCTGCAGTAAACATCAATTTAGTAAGGCTCATAATGTTCTGTTTTTTGTTCAGAGTTGTTGATTAAATTGTGGTCTTTTTGAGGCGGTTTGCAGCGTTGTGAAGACAACATAAAGTAACGAGTCTTTCAGTCAGTGTTTTTCTTCTTTATTATATAATGTTGCACTGAGACCTGAGAAAAGACAGTTTTTTCACAGCAGATGTTTTAGCTTTACAATGGATGAATATCATTGTTCATTTTAGGTTATGCAGTTTTAGGGCTCTGATATCATGCATGATGTCTCATGGGCATGGTGTACTGGGACCTGTTAATGTAATGGAGACATCATTCATCACAGTACTTATACCAAATGTCTGCTGTGGGAAAAGGTCAATTCATGTAGGGATAGCCTGGCCTCTTTCTGTCTTCACAATTGTGTCCTTACTTGCCTTGAAACATCAGCTTGATATGGTGACAGTCTCCTAAGTCTTATAAATATTCTTATTTCGGGATGCAGAAGGCCCAGTGGTAAGATCGCACCCCATGTAGGGAGGCTATAGTCCTCCAAGTGGACGGCCTGGGTTCAAGTCCGACCTGTGGCTCCTTTTCAGCATGTCATTCCCCACTCTCACTCTCTCTAGTTTCCTACTAGATATTGATCTATGACTCATAAGGGCTTTAAAAAAACGACATCCTAAAAAACATAAACTTTTGCTCCCTGGGAGCCTTTTGGAGAACTTTTAACTGCAAAGCTATGTGTCCTTTACAGGAAGTCCTCAGCGCCACAAGTGTGTAATATTACAATGTGACTGCCTGAAAATGTACTTTATATGTTACAAATTATAACTGTTAGTTGACACCTACAGTTCCATGTTATAATTAGAGCCTAAAAGAATCATTACAGATGCTTACCCTGAGCTATCTTCTGTGTTTATGTTTTTTTATGTCAGATATCAATTCCAGCATAATATCCATTATCTGAATACTGAACGTTTTCCTTGAAAATAGCATGTACATGAAGTGTCACTGAAGCTGGTGTGTATGAGATTTGGGTTCCCTGATTTATGGTTTGAAACTCTTCTATTTTCTGCTAGGAATATCATAGAGGTGATTTCTTCAAAACTCTGTATTTATACTTAAAACATTGACATTTTAATCAAAAATTAGAACAATAAGAGATTCAATATAGGCTGGCCACTATACAAGCTTCATTAAAGGTTATAACTTTATGAGAACAGCTGTACTTGATTGCTTTAAATACTAGCGTGCCTCATTAAGTGAACTCTTTAAAGAGAGTGACCATTGCCACCAAGGCAGCAGAAGAAATCAGTACTAAGATAAGACACACAACAAAAACAAGCCGGTCGCCAAGCGTACACAAACAGCAAGGAAAAGTTACGGAGATCGCAATAAAAGACTGCAATTTAAAAGACAAGAACCTTTGTCAAAGTGTTTTGTGATATGATTAAGTCTGCTTGGTGTTAATTATTGGACAGCAGTCACTTTAAAATGAATGCATTCATAGTAACTCTGGGTTTACTCATCAGGTTGACAGCCAGCTTCGTGCGACTGCTTAGTGTGAACCCTTTTTGTTCTGGTTCGTGGGGCCAGTACTGTACAGTTCTTAAGACAGATGAGGAGCAGTATTAAATAGGGTGTGACAAACTTATGCAGCTTAAATCAATTCATTTACAAAGAAAAATTATGAATACAGTACATTGTCTCGGTTGTGAACTTTGGAAATGGTAATATAAGTATACAAACTTAGTGCTCTCCTACCTGAGCTGACTGCCTTGGCCAGCCGTCGCAGCCTCCTCTGGTGGGTCTTCCCTCTGTAGTGGATCTGGGCTTGAGCGCTAGAATTCAGCTGGATGTTGCACACCTGACACATTGTGGCACTGCTGACGCTGCTGCTTTGACGTCGCTCACGTTTGGCCTTGTGCCCTGCCACCACCTTCCTCTCCTCTTCATCTTCCTCCTCCTCTTCTTCCTCCTCCTCTTTCCTCTTTCCTTGCTGAGCCTTGGGAGGGGGGCTGCTGTCCGGCCAGTTCGGGCTTTTTGGACGCTTCATATCTAGAGTGAGAAAGACGGAGACATTGCTAATCGAAATATGTGCCGTGTATGTTTTTAAAGCCTCCACAAGGGGGGGATAGAGCGGCATGCTTCATCTTTCATTGTACCTTACAGAGAGCGAATTTAAAGGCAGACAAAGGAGGCTTATTACTTTGATTTATCTACATCTTTTGGCCAGTCACTGTCAGCATTTTAAAATATTCAAATTGTATGTTACAAATCGTTCACATCCCATCATAGACTCAAATTAAAGGGCCGCTATTGTGTCAGAACTCAAAAGGTATACCACTGCGTCTTTTTAGTAAAACCTGGACCTTAGACATCACTAACTGACAACACTGATCTCTCTGTGGCACATACATCACAGAGACTGTAGATAAGTATCTTGTTCCTGCTTCTCTCCATTTATCAGATCATAAAAGATTATTCCTCTGGGAACATAAAGGCAACATGTCTTTGTGAGAGCTTTAACACCTGAAATGGCCGAGCAATTCTGACAGCATAAATCAAGCTGCAGCTCAATGTGGACATGTGCAAATGCCACCAAAAGACTAACTGAATTCTTTGTTTCAGTGCTGCTTATATGATAATGGAGTCAATTAAGCCCTCGACGTGATGGACGTTTTATCTCCCGCCTCGCTGAACGCGCCAAACAGAAACCATCATTTGGAAAATCTTTGCTGTTCTGAAAAATTCAATTTGACTGGTGGGGAGATGAAAGTGGAATGGAAATGTGTTTGCTGGAATTCATCAGCTGCAGACCAGCAACATCAAAGCTGCAGCCCGTCTTGGTGATGATTTGAATGATGTTTTACTGCAGTGTGGCAGTGGAGGGGACATGAGTTACTGCTGGTGACGATGGTGATGAAATAAGGAGTGTTTCAACAAAGAGAAGTGTGTGCCATAACCTTGCACACGACAAACACACATGCTTAAACATACAGAGTGTCCGAGAAACATGAGGAAAGGGCCAGTCCCCATTTTAAAAGGCAGGGATGGAGTTGGATGTGAAAGCAGCTGTTTGGCCCAGAGACGCCCACTTCATACAAATATGAATAAATACAAATGCAGTCGAAAAAACCTCTTTTTTTCCTCACAGCAGAGTATGATTTTAAAACACATTTAGAATAAACAAATCATTGGGAAAAAACAATACTGCTCACATAAGGTCGTGTCTATAAACAACGAATCTGGTAGGAAACAAACGTCATGTCTCCTGGATAACATTTACAATTAAGATGGGATAACATGTGCTTTTATCCATCCTCACAGAGACTGTTGCTCAGCAGTACAAAATGTGTGAAAGTATGAAAATACATATGAGATTTAGTTTTTTAAATCTAGATTATACAAATTGCTAAAACAAAAATATATAAAGAAGCTCTTATTTTTCCCCTCTTATTTATTTTGTGTTTTTTATACAGATGTTTTGCAATATTGTGCAAAATGTGTTGTGTATGGTTTTCATTTAAGTGCCCTTCTCTGTTTACATGTGTATGACAGTTTTTTGTCTTTTTTATTGACGCTACTGCGGATGCAGATTAATGTGCAGGACAAAGGTCTGAAAAAATTCCCAGGGTGACAATAAAGTGTATCATACCATAACTTTAAGGCATTTAGAGGTATACAAATATAAATGCAAACAGTAAGGATATTGTTGATGAGTTCTATAATATCATGTCTGAAAGGGTTCAAGACTTTTATGATTTTATCAATGCTATTGCACTTTTTTTTTTTTTACTGATTTTGTCCTAAAATTGTACAGTTGAGGGAGTATAAAGAAATTGGTTTTGAGAAAGACGCTGAGGAAATGCAGTTAACTCATGAATCTATCAAGTCAGCAAATAATAATATTTAACATATACAGTATGTATTACAGTAGTGAATAGTTAACTTTGGGCATCTGAGGCTTCTGTTAAGGAAATTCTGATTGAAAGACATTATTGTAAAAGTCCAGAACTACTCAAAAGCCACACTCTTCACAATTTACCTCAGTGGAGTTTTTTGTTGTTGTTGATGTGTGGGTTTTAAAGATTTCCGTCCAGAGCAAATGGGGTGGAAAGTTTTTAACGCTTCTTTAACTTTGCCAGAAAATTTTATATTTGCCACCTGTTTACTATTACTCATGATTGTTTATCTTATCACCACCTACAAAAAATTACACGCACAAATCATTTTTACATCCAGACGCATTGATTGTTTTCCAGCCCACCTGCTGTGTGTCTCTTGTCTGCTAGTCAGCTGCTTGAGAACAGCTCTGTCTGCTGCTCACGTATCTGAAGTCTTCTGTCAGTTCATGTTTTGTAAAAGGTATTGATGAGTCAGCAGCCAGGTTTAGTCAGAGGGAGGTATGGAAGGGCCGTCTATATCACCTTAAGGTGATTTGAGTCGTCAAGGTTTTTCTATTCAGATCATTTTCTTTGAATAACTAGTCCTGTTCAGATGCTCTTGTTGGCTTTTTTTTTTTAAGATTTATTTTTGTGCCTTTATTGTAGAGATAGGACAGTGGATAGAGTCTGAAATCAGGGAGAGAGAGTGGGGAATGACATGTGGGAAAAGAGCCACAAACTGGACTCGAACCTGGGCCGCCTGCTTGGAAGACTATAGCCTCCATACATGGGGCGCACGCACTAACCACTGCGCCACCGATGCCCTGCTCTTGTTGGCTTTTGTTGGAAAACTGCCAAAGTTTAAACCCTCCATTAGACTGGATGCTTCCAAGCTACACCTCTACCTCCTTTATTTGTGGTCAGCTGGGGTTGGCGCGGGACATCCCCATTATCAAATGACTTAAACAGATTGAGGTTCAGCCAGCAGCTGCTGCTTTCGGCTCGATCTCTGTACAACAGCCAGAGCTTCTCTGTCTGCCTGGCACCAGAGTTTGCAGCTGGAAATAGCCTGGTCCTCCACTACAGACCAAAAGAGTAAATTACAATACTCTTCAGAGCAAAATCAAAAAGTTGTCAGTCAAGAGTGAAACCCTTGAGAAAAAGTTATTCCTAATATTTTCCTATCGTTATAAATCACATTTAAATCCCCAAGAGTTGAAGTTGAACCCCACAGGATGTACTGCAATGTAATTCTTTATAAAAAAAAATTCCTTCACAGTTGCATATTTCTCTGTTGCCCTGACAGCTCAACAAAAGAAAACAATTTTGCCAAATTGGCTGTGTTGGTTGTGTTAAAAAGCCATCGTCTCTAATCATTGTATGTCTTACTATAAAAGTAAAAGGAATCCTTTCTGGGCAGCTGATGTCCTTTGTTCTTCCAAGAACGAACAACTGGCTTTCATGAAAAAAAAATCAAACATTTCTGAAAACTCCATGAAAACTCAAGTAAACTCATGACATGTGAAAATTAGGACCTAATGAAGCGTCATTATGGAGCAGGGTAGATGACATCATGACAATTGCTAAATGCTAGCAGCATGCTGGCTGTTATTTTTTCTCTCTTTTTAAATGAGGTAAAGCAGTGAGAGTGAGAGAATATACTGTTATCCATGCAGTACACATCAGCTCAACCTACTGACCCTGAGGATGCAGATAAATCTGAGTGAACCAGCCGTAAAATCTCAATGCATCATGGAGCTACTGTGAATGTTGTTGAACAGCTTTGTGATACAAAGAGCTATGAGAGGAGAAACTCGGTAGCTTTATCAGTAAACACAGTATCTGTTCTCCTCTTAGCAGTGAAGCTATCTGGTCATCAGCTTTTAAAATACCAGCACTCATCAGCCTGTCGAGATGAGGAAACAAAGCCAAGAATATAAGCACAGGTCATAAATGCTGCTTTAACTACCACTCTCTGAGCCGATGCTCCAAAAGTTAAAAATCATAAACAAATCACATCCCTCCTGTCCTTCAGCAGCTTTATTGGCTCCTGGTTAAATACCACATTGACTTACTAACCTTTAAGACCATCCATAACATTGCTCCTCTGTACCTCTCTGAACTCTTGCACATCAAAACCCCCACCCGCACTCTCAGGTCTTCTTCTTCCATACAACTCACTGCATCACATGCCCACCTGTCCACCATGGGGTCCAGAGCCTTCAGCCGCTCTGCCCATCGCCTCTGGGACTTTCTCTCACCAGACATCTGTTATATAGATTCTCTCACTGTTTTTAAATCTCATCTCAAAACACATCTTTTTAAATTGGCATATTCTGTTTGATTACTTTGTGGTTTTTATCTCTGCTTTGTACGGTGACCTTGGGTGCTTTGAAATGCGCTTTGAAATAAAAAAAGTATTAGTATTATTATTATTATTATTAAATCAGCTAGACACAGAGGCGGGTGTTAAGTCCCCAAGTCAAGTCAAAACAAGTCAAGTTTATTTCTATGGCACATTTCAGCAGCAATTAAAAGTGCTACACACAGGACAAAAAAACCTCCCGAAAAAGAGACATTAGAATAGAACATTAATAAAGAAATAAGACATCATGCAAAAATAAGAAATTAAAGCACAAGTTAAATAATCTCGAATGTTAAATGTAGTGATGTTATAGCGCTCTTTCAATGTTATAGTGCTCTGAAGTCCCTAGAAACGTCCTATAAAAATGTGTAAAAATAACTGTGGTATTTCCTGCTGTCATGATGTAAATACAGTCGAGGATTTCACACTTATTCTGCACATTTTCACAGACCAAAACTGCCCTGCAGCAAATAAAAACACTGTAGACTTGGTTTCATATCTGCTGATTTGATAAAAAGCCATCGTCTCTAAAAATACCTTGTTTGTTAAAAAGAAAGAGGCATCCATCTTTGTACCTACTGTATGTCATTTAGTGCTATAATCACAGCCATGCAGAGCATAACGTATTCTTTCAGAACTAAGACATCCTGCATTTGCATCTTGTTACAGGATTTCAGCTAATGATTCATGTCAGCGCCCAAACAACATAGCAGATATAAATACTAATTCACCTGCCCGTGAGTGCCGTCTCTGTGTAATACTCTACTAACTTTCCCTGCCAAATGCGTGCCCGACATCTTTGCTTTATGGA